CTATAAAAATCCTTTAAATACATTATATCCGGATTAGCAAAAATAAATTTCACTGATGTTAAGGCTACGAAAGATGACAACAAATGTCAGCAAAGCTCTTCAGCAAGAATGGAAGAAAACAAAATAAAATAAATATTTACTCTTATGAAGAGTTAAAAGTGTTCTAATAAAAAACAAACTTTGATGTTTATGTTAGAGCTTTTGACCAAAGGACACAAAAATCCTAGAATAGAACAAACACAACAACGACGAGGACAACAACATCAACAACCGGACATTAGTTACAATCACACACAATTAATATAACAAATCATCAGTAGGAACCATGTGTGGTGTGGTGTTGTGTTATGTCGTGTTGTTAGTCTTAGCCTCATATTTTTGTCGAACATATGAAATCCGCAAAAAGGACAAACAAGTCATATACATATGTACATGTATGTGTGTGTGAGTATGTACTAAGTAAAAGGATAATAAACATTAAATAAAAAGAGATTAAAAAAGAAACAAGAGAAAGATATAACGATAACATACGAATCATATTTAAAAGTGTTTATCTATGTGTGAATGTATGTGCTCTCTAAAGTTAAGGCTACATTTCGGAAAAGGACAGTAGATGCTTGGTTTGTCCTCTACAACAAGAATGGATGACAACATTTACAACAACACACAATTATTTATAATGGGTCATATACCTTAATCAAAGCAGCAGCAACAACAACAAAAAATAAACAACGATACGAATAATAATAATAGAAAATGGCAAAAGTCAACAAACAAAGAACCGGGATCATTTCATCGCCCGTATAAAACAACACTGAAAACAACCTAAATATTCAAAATTATCACGGAAAATCATAACAACGGCAACAAAACCACCAAATATCCTTTCACTTGTTAACAGCACGAAATGTAAGACAAGAACCATCCACAGCTTCCACATATATGTTGTGACTGCTTCCTGTTTACATCCCACCTCTGAAATGCCAGCGTACTTCCTGCTTCATTGTTTATGTGATTGTTTTTGTAATTGTAGTATGCTGTGTTGTTGTGCTGATGTAATTATGAAAATGTTACGAGTTCAACATTGTACCGTAATATTTTAATCATATCACCAGGGTGCGAGTTAACATATGATAGTTGTAGTTGAAGCTGTTAATGGCATTACTAATATAATACAAGCCCTTCGTGTGCACCCGGTGACTGATAAAGCTGATTTATTGTGTCAGCATAAAGTAACGGCAAGAGTGATTCTCAAACTTTGAACGAATTTTTCTCGAAGCAGCGTTTTTTACGAATGGCGGGCACGATAACTCAGAAACTAGCAATTCAATCGGTTCCGTTTCTCTGGCAGCGCTATAGCTATCGTATGAACTAGGATATAACCAATCGATAAAGATTTTCCTTATTTTTTAACTTAGAGAGTGGTAACAAGTGAAAAAGCGTTAAGTTCGGCCGGGCCGAACTTTGGATACCCTCCACCATAGTTATACTGACAGATACATGTAATGAAAATATAGGGAACATACCAAAAAGTGGGTATATACCGATAATTCTACAAACCGATTTATGTAAACCATTATGTACACCAAATACAAACTTCAGCAATTTTTAATGGGGATTTTTCCTAAAATCTGTAAGATCCAAAAAGTGGACTGATACTGATAACGCATGGTAGAGTATAAAATCCTCAAACTACTGTAATTTAGATTACAAAGTTATATGAGGTTATGCCTAAAGGGGGACTAATATTGATTACATAGTGTAGGAAAATGGTGAATATTTGGGGATATCATTATATGAGGGCTATGCCTAATTAATGACCGGTATATGCCAATATTGAACCCAATATTTTAATTGTTTATCTCAATTCTTTCCTTCAGGAGGAATCACTATATTGAGGATATGCCTAAATGTCTGCCGATATATTTCATTATCGTCATGTTTGAGGTTTCTTTTATCACAATACCTTTAGAAGGCGGAATGCTTGCTACAGATGGCTGCATAGTCTTTGTAGGGTAAAAATTGACTATTCCCCGTAACGACTACCCAACCGCAACACACGGAACAAATCATATAACTATTTTAATATAAAAAAGGGGGTTATATGGGGACTACCCCTAAAAAGCGGTGAATATAAATAATTTTTGGTGGGGAGATTTGTTACCATATAAGACTACAAAATACCAAATTTCAGCGAATTCGGTTAAAAAACGCGCTCAAGAACCTCAAAATATCGAAAATTGCAGGTACCCTTATATGAAGACTACCCGAAAAAATTGACCTCTATTTATAATTTTCTGTGGAGAGATTTGCTACCCAATAATAACTGAAATTACTAAATTACAGCCAATTCGGTAAAAAAAAATGCGGTCAAAACCCCCAAAAAATGGAAATTGGGAGGTATCCTTATATGGGGGCTATCCGAAAATATGGACCCATATTTATAATTTTTAGTGGGGAAATTTGGTACCCAATAAGAACCCAATGTACCGAATTTCAGCGAATTCGGTTGAAAAACGCGCTCAAGAACCCTAAAATACCGAAAATTGGGGGGTACCCATATATGGGAGCAACCCGAAAAAATTGACCTATATTTATAATTTTTAGTATAGAGATTTGCTACCCAATAAGAACTCAAAGTACCGAATTTCAGCGAATTCGGTTGAAAACCGCGCTCAAGAACCCTAAAATACCACAAAATTGGGGGTACCTTTATATGGGGGCTATACGTAAATATGGACCCATATTTATAATTTTTTGTGGGGAAATTTGGTACCCAATAAGAACCCAATGTACCGAATTTCAGCGAATTTGGTTGAAAAACGTGCACAAGAACCTCAAAATACCAAAAAATGGGTGGTACCTTTATATGGGAGCTATGCCTAAACGTGGACCGATAAAGCCCATCTTCGAACTTGACCTGCCTGCAGACAAAGGACGACTCTATGCAAAATTTTGGCGATCTATCTCAATTCGTTTAGACGCTAGAGTGATTACAACAGACAGACGGACATGGCTATATCGTCATAGAATTTTACGCTGATCAAGAATATATATACTTTATAGGGTCGGAAATGAGTATTTCGATGTGTTACAAACGGAAAAACAAAATTAATATACCCTCCATACTATGGTGGAGGGTATAAAAATAGGCGAATTTTCAAAAAAAAATCAAAAGTCCGTCATTTTGTTAATTTTTGAGCGAGGAGTTATCATGTCCGCCATCAAAAATAAGGACTTTTCTTTAATCCCCAAAAACAACAACAAAACAACAACAGCAAAATTTTGCAAATTGATTTTCTTCTCTTTTAAATCTTCAATTATATATCGATCATTTGCTGCAAGAGAGGCATAACTCAAAAAAACGTGATCTTCGAGTTAATGATGGACGATTTTTCGCTATAATAGCCTTCATGTTGTGTAAAAAAATCATATGAATATCTCTTACAAACGCCAATTGATAAGCTGTAGAAGTTCCTCTGTCCCATACAAAGTGTGAGTAAATTGAAAACTTAAAACGCAATTTCTGCAAAATCGTTTTTTATACCCTTCGCCATACTGTGGGACAGGGTATTATGTCTTTTTGCATATGTTTGTAACAGGCAAAAGTTTGTAACGAAATTTGGCCCCTATATATCTTTCGATGTGCACGAAATTTGGCACAGTGTAATGAATTAGGCCTAGAATGATGTGTGTTAACTTTCCTGAAAATCGGTTCAGTTTTAGATATAGCTCCCATATATATTTTCCTCCTATTTAATGTAAATGGTGCACCAAAGTCCCTATATATCTTTCGATTTGCACAAAATTTGGCACATCGTAATGAATTAGGTCTAGAATGATGTGTATTAGTTTTCCTGAAATCGGTTCAGATTTAGATATAGCTTCTATATCTGACCAAATGAAAATTTTAGTATCGGTTGCAGAATGACATGTTTATGGGCCCAATTTCATTTTACTGCTCCTTTAAAAATGCGACGTCTGTTAGGATTTATCTGTTGAATATATCCAAAGTGGTGAATAGTCGGCCCTGTCCGACTTTCCTACTTTCCTTACTGGTTTTTAGATATGACTTTCTTGCAGCAAATGAGCGATATGTGTGAATTTACAAACCTAAACATATATTGGTATTCATTTACCAGCCCAATGAAAGTATTGAAAATTTAAAATCCTTCTGAGATAGGTGTGGACTCAAAAGCTAAGTCGGAACATCAATACATGACAAATACAAGCCGAAGAAACACGGAAGCTGACATGATGGTTAATATATCCCGGACACAAAAGCGAACAATATTCAGAATAAAGCAAAAGACCTAGACTGAGCAGCAAGTCAATAAACCTGATGGTCCCTTCACTTTTTCAGAAGGTGCGAAAATGATTAGGTATCCGGAAAAGCAGACGAACGCCCAACCCGCAAAAAGAAAAAGAGCTTCCCGTCTCCAGGTGACCCGGAAAAGACGAACTCTGTTATGCAGCGATAGCGATCTGGTTAGCTGCAGTTTCAAGGGGGACTATCAATTACTAGAGTTTGAGCGATCAACGGGCTTAGAAGGTCGAAGAAAACTACAAAACTTAAGCTGGAGAAAAAAGGCAACGGGTTTCGTCAGAGGATGGAAAGCGAGCTCAAGACAGAACGCATGATCGAAGTCTTTAGTTAGGACAGGGCAGGAAGGAGAAGGAAGGAAGGTCAGGGCGGAGTCTTCTTCAAAATTGGGAAGGCAATGATTGGAGAAGTAAATGCCAAGAAAAGTAGCGAAAAAGAAACACCTAGCAACAAAAGCGAGGAGCCCAGTAGAAGACAAGCGACTCCCAAGAAAACCGTTTACTGGAAGAAAATTGACAGAAGTCATCCAGGTGAACCTCCACCGGCATGAGACGGCAACACTGGATCTGATGAAAAAAAAAATAATTACTAATTAATAATAATAATAACTACCAATTATTTTGTGCAAGGAACCTGTATAATATGTCACAAAAATTTAAAATTCTTCTCTCCCCAGAGTTGACAACATCGGACGCAACTATACTGAAGAAAGGAAATCGCAGCATTTACCTAGCTGTTTCACCACCAACGGCGGAACTACAGCGATTGGTGAGAAGTACTAACAGTGACGCTAACTCACATCACATTGCATTGGGTAGTACTAATACTAACGCAAGAAGCCAGTCCTTTCATTCTCTGACCATAAGTATATTAGGTTTAAAAGGTCTTCCCTGCTTTATTACAAAAGAATGTGGACTATACACCACCGCAAGGCAAACTGCGCAACATCAAAAATCCTATCGGTCAATAAGTCTAACTTCATGTGGGATACCACTATCAATAGTATCCTCAGGTAAGGACCTTACCTGAGGAGGGAATTGAACACGTCCGTTATGTAGACGATGTTATAATACTTCTGGGGGGAATGAATCCTAACTTGTTATGTATGAAGGTTGAAACGGTGAAACGAGAATAAGACAAAGCAAATCTTAACACTAAACAAACGGGGAATCAGCAGACTAACCGCAGGCAACAATAGCCTGATGGTCCACTTACACAAGAGTGAAAATCGGTTCACATTTATATTTTCGACCGATTTAATGTAAATGTAAAGTCAATTTATATCTTTCGATTTGCACGAAATTTGTCATGAAGCACTGATTTAACTCTAGTATGATGTGTGTTAAGTTTCGAGAAAATCGGTTTAGATTTCGATATAACTCCCATATATATTTTCGACCGATTTATTGTAAATGGTGCACCAAAGTCCCCATACATCCTCCGATTTGCTTGAAATTCGGCATAGCGTACTGAATTGAGTCTAGAATAATGTGTGCTAAGTTTCGTGAAAATCGGTTGAGATTTATATATAGCTCCCATATATATTTTCGTCCGATTTTACGTAAATGGTGCAAAAAATTCCCAATGTTTGTACGATTGAAACGAAATTTTTCTTACCCACTGTGTAACAGTCACCCGCATCATAGCAAGGAGCACAAATTCATTCATTTTCATTTTGACATCCTTACATGAGATTTACTTGCACATCCCCTCATACATCGGAATGAGTATGACTGTCTGTCTATGCTATTTATGTCCTCGCATAATAAATATTTGCCATCTGCGAAAGTGAGCGAAGGAGTTCAAACTGAAACTTCGTATGGCTGTGGAGAAGGGGAAGAGGTTGTTAATGCGGTTGAAATAAAATTTTCAGTTTCATTAGTTAAATTGAATAATGAAATAGCGTCGGTTCATTATTCCAATGCCATTTTATTCACGACTCAATTCGGGGGCATTGTCATGTTCGACAATATGCTAGTCTCGCCACCCTTTTTTGCGAAAAGTTTCATTGGAAATGGATTTACTAACATCATCAACTCCTCCTAGTTTTTTGTTTATTTGCCCCTAAAGTCTTTTGCCATTTGTTTCTTTATTGTTCTTGGTTTTTCATGTTTTAGTTGGATGAGTTTTTTTTCTAGTTTTTTGGTAATTTTAGTTTTGAAAGTCAGTGCAAAAGTACTTTTGTCTTGATGACAGGGAGAACTTTTGTTTCCGGTGTTTGGTATACTATCTTTAGTTACTAAGCTTCAATGGAGTAGTAAGACATGACATTTGGAAATGGAATTCTTTAATATCTGGGAGATGTTTTAAATGTTTAAAAATAAAGAGAAATATATGGAAATTTTAGAAAATATAAACGATTTAATTGAAGTAATACGGAAAGAGGATGTTGTGTTGTTGATTCGATTTGTTTATTGGTTTTTATTGCACAAAATTCCTTCTCTTCATCCAACCATGTGGTTCTTGTCAACTTGAATATGTAAATTCGAATGTTCGAACTGGATTTGAAAGAGTCCATGTTTGGAAGTAGAATAAAGTAGGATGGACACGCAAAGATTCTGTCATTGAAGATTATCCATCAGGAGAGTTTTTTCGTCTGAGAATAATAAATACCAAATTGCAGACAATTTGTCTTAAAAATTCTGCATTAGAAAGGGATCTGTCGAAACATTTGTCTATAGTCTATGTAACCCCGAAATGTCAGTTAATTCTAGAATTTCACATTACAGACATTTTGTATTAATTATATTAAATACATATCGAAATAATAATTTCAAATATTAGTAACCAAAAAGGTAGAGCATTTCAGAGTTTTATTCTGCGACTTAAATAGACAAAGCTGTTT